CAAGGCAGGCATAAAGTTAGAACAGAGCCAAATTCCGTTCGGCATTTGGGCTGCTGTTGGCTGAGTTGTCCTCAGCCAGGCAGAGGGAAAACAAGCCTTTAAAACAGCAATTGAGTTCCACCACCTTTTTTGGCCAGCTTAACTTATGCCAGCTTGCCAAGGTGACATGACCAAGTCGAATGGGCCTGGGATCCAGCCTAAGTCCTCTGCCACCCACTTCAGGTGCTACCGCACACCCCTTGGGTCCCCAAACGCTGTTGGACTACAACTCCCATTATCCCTATGTAACAGGACTAGTGATCAGGGAAGATGGGAGTTGTGGTCCATCAACATCTAGGGTTGAGAAAGGATGGCTTACACTGACTTAAGGTCTGTTGGGTTCGACTCAGCTGACTAGGTCTTGGTTGACCCAGGATGCAAGAGATGCACTGTGCATCTTTGCTGAGTCAAGGGTGAGAGATTTAAACCAGTGTAGCCTGGTTATGCTGGGAAAATCTCAACATAGCTGGATCCTAACCTGTTGATCTTGCTGTAGGATTGCCCCCTTTACACGGCAATCCTAAACACATTTCCAGGGGAATAAATGGCATTGAATTCAGTGGGACTTTTTATTATGTATATGGATGATGATGATGATTATTATTTCAACGTCTAACCCACACCTTCTCCCGAAGGGGCCTCTGAGTAAACAAGTTGAGGAGTGCATTATTTGTTCCAGTTATGTTTATTAGGCTAAAATCCAGAGAAGCAGACCCCAGTGGAGTCTGCTTTTGCGTAGTCATGCATAAAATTATGCTGTTGTATGCATGCATTTGACTTAAGCAATCTGCTTCTTCAAGTTTTGTTTTCTCAATAAATAAATAAATACAGCCATTGATTGCCCACCCAAATCCATTGTTTCTCAGCTGCTTTTTTAGCTCCAAGTAGCTGAATGAAATATGGCCCAGTCAACTCTGTCTGAACAAATTGTAATTGAACCAATATCTCAGAATGCTGGGGCTGTATCTTTTGTTCAATGGGGACATGTGAGGCCTCCAAATTTAACTGCACATTCAGAAATGCCACATGATAGAGCCTTTTCCAGACTAGGGTGAACAGATACACAAGTGCCCTTGTGCCTTTTCTGTTCATCTCTTGAGAAGCTGGAACCCATAGAAAAGCCCAATTCAGTACATCTATTTTTAAAAACTTTTGTTTATGCAATTTTAACAGCTTTTATACACACATCATACAGTGCCCATCACTTATATCTTTTCCAAAGAGTTCCCAGTCCATCTCTCTGTGGCATTCTAGGAAAATCTTGATCAGCTGCTTATCCTGATATTTTACCCATTATCATCTCAAATGTTTTTGATGTTATCTGCTGCTCATATGTTAACTCCTACTTGTAGGTTAAATTGTATATTGTACCCTCTAAGATAATCTCCCAAACACCTCCACTCTACTCTTCTCTTTAACTCATCCTCATTCCTTAATTCCACGGTCATGGTTACTAATTCTATGTATTCTATCAATTTGTTCTGCCAAAATTCCTTCATGGGTATCTCTTATTCTTTCCATTTCTTCACATGTACTATTCTAGCCACAGCGGTTGAGTACAAAAAGATATTGCGTGCCTTTTTTGGAATGTCATCCCGTATTATCCCTCTATCTCATGGCACTTCCAGCATAAATTAGACCCCTTTTTGTACATTTTCACTAATTTGCTGGGTGTCAGGTTCCGCTGGTACATCACCTTTTGTAGATTTTCCTTAATAAGATAATAGGCAGAGAAATTCATGCTTTCCCCCCATAGTTTTCCCCCCACAGACAATTCTATGTTGTAACCCATATCTATAGCCCATTTTGTCCTTGTCGCCTTTACCATGTTATCTTTGGTCTCCCATTCCAGAACTAATTCTGCACATCTATTAAAGGTGCAGAAGTCCTCTTTTCCATCTCATCAACCTAACCCAAACGCTACCATTTCAGAAGGCAGTTTCAGAAGTTTCTGCATTGCTTTAAAATCCCTATTCCTTACAAATGAAATTCTAAATCCTCTTCTTTATCATCTGTGAATCATCCTCGGTTGAGATGAATACTCCCTATAGTGTATGTATGAGAATGGGTGTGTAAATTTTTGTTAAAGCAAATGTCTCACAGGAGAGAGCTCCGCTAATCTGTTACAACCACAGAAAAGTTTCTCTCTCCATTAGCCACCTGTCTCACTTCTGCCAGCATGAGCACCCAGGGAAGGCCCTTTGGTGCAGATCTCAACTTGAACAGGTCAGTTCCAGACAACCTGCTTATTGTGCATTCATTCTGATTTGTTTGCACAATGTTTGCCGGGAGGTTAGACAGTGTAGGTGATTTACTGAGCTTCCATTCTGATTTGCTTGCATGAAGGACATACAACATAGCATCAAGCAAGTGTTATCCCCCACTATTCAGTGCATTTTCCCATCATATTATTATTATTATTATTATTATTATTATTATTATTATTGCAAAAATCCTATTTGGAGGCAGGGGAGTGGGGAAGCAGGTTTGTTGTGGAAAAGCTCCATGTCCGCTTTAATTGTGCAGCTGGAATTTGCTAGTATCCGATTGAATCTCACCTGGAAATGACAACAGTCTGGAAGGGTCCCTCATACAGGAGCAGTGATGCTTAATAAACACAATTAGTTCAGGATAAAAGGACTATCTTCCCCAGGCAAATGCCAGGTAACAAAGACTTAGTAAGATGGGCACCCTTGTGAGCATTCATCTTTAAAGCGTGTCCTTTAAAAAATTGTCTTTTATGAGGCTACAAATGCACAGCAGAGAAGGAGAATAAAGATAGTGGGACCTCATGTTCAGAGAGAAAGCTTTGTAGTACCATCTAGTGATTCAGCAGATCAGGTATAACTGAATTAGTGTTATAAACAGCAAAATAGCCGTGTGCGTGGGTTGGTTGCATAAGGTGTCAAATAAATGACACTCTTCTGAGTCAGAGACATCTGAGGTACTTCCTTATACAAGTTTCTGAGAAGCCTTGGGAAACAGGGAGAGTTCCTCTTTACATGGGTGAAATCGGAGGAGGGAAATGTCAAGTTCAAATTTCACAGTCGTGTGCCAGGAATATTTGCCAATTTCACTCATTTGGAAAGTTGGCATAGTCCCTAGTTTGGTATAGTGATCTTATGACTATACAATGCTGCCTTATAAAGAGGCGGCTACTCCTCATCAACCACGGCTGCATATTCTGAATGCTATCCAAGATATTTGACAAAGATCTTTCACAAAAGTGACATCAGAGGCTGTGTACCCATTGCTATTCATTCCAGTTCCAGGGCAATCCCACCACTTGGGTTTGAAGCCATGTTGTCACCCTAAATCCACATGTATCTTGTAGTTTCTTGAGAAATGCTGCTGTCTGGTGCATTTTCTCTCAAACTAGCTTCCATCCTGACAAGGATGTTCTGAAGGGGGTCATATTCTAAGAATTCAAGTAAAAAAAAAAGTCAGTTGGATATGTGCAAGCCCTCAGGCACTCTAAAAGAATTCTGTGGATTGACGCCTTCAGTTCAGATTTGCTAACACATTGCTCTAATACATATTTGGAGCAAGACCTAAGTTCGTAAAAGATGCTGGGAGAAGTAGGTTATGGAAACGATCCTGGGGGAAATACTCTAAAACCTCCCACCTTCCTGTTAATTGCAGCCCTGCAACTCAGTTCGTTTTCCATTCATTAAGATTGTTACATCAAGGAATGTGCAATGAGGTTGTGTTAATCTGCTTGCCATTACGGTGGTCAGGTGAAAAAACGAGAACAGGGCTCCTGTACCTTTAATAGTCGTCTGGCAAGCTACATCTGCCGAAAATTCTTCTTCTGTGCAACTATTTGTTTATTACATGGTTCTCCTACTCGTTTCATCTTCACAACAAGGTGGATTCTTGAAACCAGATGATAACCAGGAGAAATAAACTTTAGCTATGGTATCTCCCCGCTTTATATCTTCTTGAATGTCCATTTTAGAAGTAACTAAGTAACTAATTTCCAAACTCAGGGACATGGGTGGCTCTGTGGGTTAAACCACAGAGCCTAGGACTTGCCAATCAGAAGGTCGATGGTTCGAATCCCCATGACGGGGTGAGCTTCCATTGTTCGGTCCCAGCTCCTGCCCCCCTATCAGTTCGAAAGCACGTCAAAATGCAAGTAGATAAATAGGTACCACTCCGGCGGGAAGGTAAACGGCATTTTCGTGTGCTGCTCTGGGTCGCCAGAAGAGGCTTAGTCATGCTGGCCACATGACCCGGAAGCTGTACGCCGGCTCCCTCGGCCAATAAAGCAAGATGAGCGCCGCAACCCCAGAGTCAGCCACGACTGGACCTAATGGTCAGGGGTCCCTTTACCTTAATTTCCAAACTATAACAATCTGTACCTATATATTTTTAAGGATATTATTATTTTATAGCATTTATATCTCAACTCCCTTCTCAGTAGCTCAAGGTGGAGTATGTGAATCTTACCTTACCCATTTAATCCTCACAACAACCCTGTGAGGTGGTTTAGGCTGAGAGGCTGTGACTGGCCCAAGGTCACCCAGGGAGCTTCATGACTGAGTGGGGATTGAACCCTGTTCTCCCGGGTCCTAGTCCAAGACTCTAACCACTATGCCACACTGGCTCTATTAAAGGTGTAGGAATTTAGGTTGGTTTTTTCCCTACCCTGCCCTCGTTGCCATGTAAGCAACCTCTTGGCAGATACTTCTTGATGTGTACTGCAAGGGATATGCCATTGGCAGCACTGTTTTAATTTAGTCTGTCATCTGCTTGTCTAGCATTTTTAATTCCATAGATTGGTCTTGGTCTCTGTTTTTTTCTGTCTTTGTTGAAACTTCATCAAGTCCATGTTACATCTCTGCCTCCTCTGCTCTTTATTTCTTCCTGATGGGGTTATTTGCTTCCATTTTGCTCCATTATTTTAATTATTGTGATACATGAAATCAAAGATATCACAGAGCAGTGCAGGAATCTTTTTGCCCGACATGGGGCCCGAACATGACCCTGAGATTAAGAGTCTCATGCTCCACCAACTGAGCTATCCTTCACACATATATTGTATGTGAATTTTTTAATCTACCAATTAGTCCTCTGGACTAATTTGTCGCCATTGATACAAATGGTTATGAGGATACTGCATCACACATAATTATGCCATGAATGGACAGCATACACCCAAACACAGACATGGTAATCTCTGGTTGAAAACATTGCACGTGTCCAAAAAAATAAGACAAAGCCTTGCGTTCAACTACATAAAGGTGTGATGTCTACAGCAGCAGCCAAGAGAGAAAATTGCTGGGTGTTTAAGTGTCCAAGTCAAATAAGATGCCGTTGAGGATAACTTGTCGTTCCTCAAGGCACACTTAAGTCTACATTTGGGAGTTCCTAGAAGCAAGTTAGCACCAATAGTGTCTTTGTTTAACTTGGACATGCATATGTTTTGCCCTTTAGCAACTTGGCTCTTGTTGCAGAGATCACACCTCTAACAGGGGCCAAGAAACATCTCCCGGCTTTGCCAGTTCTTTAGCGTGGCAGTTATTTGCAGGGTGGAGCAAATCAGATATTAATTTATGTCCATTGAGCCAATTAGTGTAAAGATGTAAAGAAGACTGCCAAAGGGACATAATATGTTGGCATAAAAAGTAATTGGACCAGAGTAGGAGGTGTTTGCATTCTTTTTGACTTTAGTCAGTGCATTCGTGAATTAAGTTGTGATCGTTTTTAAACACCAGATGGGCAAACGTCTACAAGGAACAAGTCAAAATTTAGCACCAGGGGGGAGTTCCTGCACAAGGGAGTGTTGGGAGCATTGTCGATGCTGTGTGGTTTTGTACTTTGATAGGGCTTGGCATGAATTTAGTGCATTGTTTAAACTTACTGCATTTGTTGGCATCCGTCTGTCTCGAGAGACAATGGACAAGTGCCCTTTTGGGAGAGGGGAGTCAAATTGTTGGAAGGTTACATCTGCTGTGGCTGTAGAGACCGATATAGGAGAGAGATGTTTTGTTGCAGCTGGGGCAGTTGCACCATGGCATTTCTTCTCTCTGCACTCCTCCCAGTGGTCATTCCTCTTCTGGTCACTACTATGGATGTATGGCCTGACTGCCTGTCTCCAGGTTATCAGCCTGGTCATCGGCCACACGGTGGGGTTGATGTTGACAACCTTCATGTCACATTTACAGGCATCTTTGTAACACAGAGTTCATACACTCCAACATTTCTCTGATTAAAATAGGGATGTCCTAAGGAAAAGCAGGATATTCTGGGATCAGAAACCAGACACTTGGAGGGTCTGAAGTTGGACTGCCAATGGGCCTGGGGTCTGAAGCCAGCTCCCAGTACAGTACACCTTACTGTATACTGATTGGCCTATATAATATTTATAGCACAAATTATTTCCAATTTGTCCTTTTAAAATTTATTATTTTGTATTATTTTGCATTGTATGTATTGTTTGATAACAATTGTCCCTAAGCGATGCACAAGTATCTTAAGTTAGACGGTAAATCTATAAAATCTGAATTTAGCTAAAATGTCTACTGATTATTTTTTTTAAAAGGAAAATATTCAGTAAGCATCAGAAGTTCAACATGGAAGGTCTATTTGGCCTCAACCTGAAGTGAAAACCATAAATTTGGACCCACAATACTGAAAACACAGATTCTGGTGGATATGGGTAAAAACAAACACATAATGTATTTAGGTTTATGTTTTAAATGCATTGTAAATCACTGGAAGACCTTTGGGTAACCACTGAGTAACAAGCCATCATCATCATCAATCATCATCATCAACCATCAACAGTCAAAGCAGACCAAGAAGAACCCCCTTGTTGTTTTTTGAAACCTTATAAAAGAACATTTTCTTTTATAAAACTGTTCCATAAAATTGTGTACTGTGAATCTACTGGGTTTAAATATATATATATCAAAATGAATCATACAGTCCTTAATCAGTAGTATGAGAGGCATGAGACATGCTACCTAAATATTAATAGGCACATTGTGTCTTTTCAGAATTAGCAAGATCTCCCATTGCTATCACTGATCAAGTCATAATCTTGCTCCATCTGTCTTCAGCATTATGGTAATATCAGCTGCTGAAGCTGCCTGATTATAGTTCCTATGATTTGTGCACATCTATTAGCAAGTCAATTTCTCCGAAAATAAATATTCTTGAATCTTCTTTCCATAAGCTGATTTGAGAGGCACAAACACACTCATTTGACTCTTTCTTCCCAGAAGTAATATAATCTTGTTTACCAATCTAAGCACTTTTCTCCAAATAAGAAGAAACATTTTTCTGGTGCACGTGAATTCATCTTGTCCTTTATATAGACACGCTCACGGAGTGCCTGCTTATATTAAGGCAAATATTACAGAAGTGGGCATCTCTTCTACATTTAGGTTTCCATCTTGTTCTGAACATAGGGAAAGCTGACTCTGAATAAAGGATGCTTCCTATCAGCCAGGCAAAACTTCACTTTTCTGACTTCCATGCACGATGAAGCTGATAAAAGCAAGCGGCGTAAAGTGAGCAAGAAAAGCTTAATATGGTCAGATGTAGTCCTCCTTTCTTGAATGTTCTGCCGCTGATGAAGACTTCTTGGCCTTGGCTCACTTGTTTTAGATGCAATGGTTTGTTTTCCCTCTGTCTCCTCACCCCACCCCAATTTTACTTTCCTGGGATTTCTCCACACAAACCCTGGAACATCAAGATTCTAAAATGTCTGCAGAGAGTTGCCCTACAACTGATGGCGGGAGACAAAGACAGAAGAGGAGAAAGTGACTCCACGATTTCTCCACGTGATGCTAAATGCACACTGCACACTCTTCTGATTTGAAAGTTGGTGGCACTGTGGGTTAAACCACAGAGCCTAGGACTTGCTGATCAGAAGGTCGGCAGTTTGAATCCCCTCAATGGGGTGAGCTCCCGTTGCTCGGTCCCTGCTCCTGCCAACCTAGCAGTTCAAAAGCACGTCAAAGTGCAAGTAGATAAATAGGTACCGCTCTGGGAGGAAGGTAAACGGTGTTTCAGTGCGCTGCTCTGGTTTGCCAGAAGCGGCTTAGTCATGCTGGCCACATGACCCGGAAGCTGTATGCCAGCTCCCTCGGCCAATAAAGCGAGATGAGCGCCGCAACCCCAGAGTCGGTCACGACTGGACCTAATGGTCAGGGATCCCTTTACTTTACCTTTAATCCTGTATTTACAGGATCTTGTCACAATGGCGGGATTCCATTGACAACAGCTTCCTGAACCTGCTCCTCCACCACAATGTTACAGGCAGAGATCTACATTTTCCTGTGCCACTCCCTACAGAACAGGAAAACCCTCTACAGCTAAACATGTAAAGCAATCCAAACCAAACATGCAGAATTATCTCTACGCTCAGTTCTGCAAATGGCAATAGTTTCCCACCACAAGGTGGCTACGGCAGGAGCGCCTGACATTTCCAGGAGATTTACACAGCACTAAAAGCTTAAGAAATGCTGGCGTTATGAACACTGTTAAATGCACTGTCATTCATGTGACAACAAATTGTTAGTTTTATTATTATTATTACCATCACCAGAAATGGCGCTCAAACCTTGCAAGGCCTTTCCCAAAAATTCTGTTAGTATTACTTTTAAAAATCGAATTGCTGTTGCATTTTATATGTTGTGGCACTTGATATTTTGAATTGTACAGGGAGACAGCATTAGCAGAGTTTGCCTGCCATCTTTTGATCCTTGGAATTTGTTTCAGAAGGTGCCGTGGAAGTGAAATTTACCTTTCCGAGCTGACCTTCAGGAAATAAAATAGGCCGAATCATGAAAAGTTTGAGGTTTACAAAGTTCTGCATTGCTTTTTACACAAAGGTACCATCCCATCCAATTGGCCTTTTCTCTATTGAATCACACTGCAATTAAGTCTATTTCATTTGTTGCTGTTGTTATTACACAACACGTAGTAGCACTGAGAGGAAGAAGAGTAAATGCACCACTAATGCCAGGAACATGTTGCGGGAGACACCTGCAATAAAACACCAGAGACATTAAATTCTTTCTAAAGGGCTGGATCCTATTGAAATCAATGTGACAAATGAGCAGTGACTTAAATTACATCTCGTTAAATTAAACTACATTTAACTGACTTGGTCTGGATGCAGCCCAATGTTCAGTCTCGTGCCAATGCTGGTTATGTGAAACTTTATAGAGTGATGGTTTTCAAACCGCACTCCAAAGGACCCTGGAAAAGTATCAGTAGGAAGATCAGCAATTGCAGCTGGGACATCCTAAGGATACTTTGCCCACCAACACTTTGCCCTTACAAGTTCAGAGGTTGGATGACTGTGCAGCAGCATCTAAAGCTTCTCAATACAGAGTCAGACCATCTACTGCACTTTTATCTACACTGACTGGCTCTCCGGGGCTTCAGAATGCATGTTGGGCAGAACATGGCACCTCAACCTCCAACTGAAACATATGCTTTGTGGGGCAAGGGGATTAATTGTCTAACAGATTGGTTGGAAGACAGCTTCTTTGCCCCTAAAGCATAGCAGCAATTCAGGAGGAAACCTATTTCCACAAGACATCAAATACAGATGATTGATGATATGCCGCAATGCATGCTAAGGTACAAACTGGCCTGCAAGGCAGATGTGGATAACAACAACAGTGCCAGAGTCTTAGAAGCATTTTAAACACAATGATTTCAATATGTAAAAATATAAGGAAAGCATCTTTTAAACACCCAGGAGTGTAGTAGCTTGCATCCACCAGGCCAAACTCTACAGTCATACCTCATGTTACGTTTGCTTCATGATACGTTTTTTCAGGTTGTGTCCCGCAGTGACCCAGAAGTACCGGAAAGGGTTACGTCCAGTTTTAGCTGCTCATGCATGCGCAGAAGCGCTAAATCGTGCCATGCGCCTGCACAGATACGGTGCTTCGGGTTGCGGGCTTTTCATGTTGCGAACAGGCCTCCGGAATGAATCCCATTCGCAACCAGAGGTACCACTGTATTTTGAACAACAACTCTTATCTACATCTTATCTATATTGTAG